ATTGAGAATTAGATATATTTAGATGAAAAATAGAAAAAAAAAGTAAAAGAGCTAAAAAATAGTTAACTGAATCTGACAAATTTGTAAAAATTATTTTTCTGTCTATCTATCACATGTTAAATCTTTCCAAAACACCTCAAAACAAAAAACAAAGTCATGGGTAAGTTATAGTTCGTTGATTTGTATAAAAAGCTATATTTATGGTGTGAAATTAGCATTAAAGTACGTCTAACCTTTTCAAGAAGTTGACTTGAATATCAAAACCCAAGACTTGTTCCCTTTTGGTTAGTTTGATTAATTAAATTGGTATTTAAATTAGTTTCTAAATTTTATAAGTGTTATTTTTTTTAAAATTATTTTTAGATCTAAACTCATGCTATAAGTTCGATTATGTGTTTGTTAAATATATTATTCAATTCTTTTAACTAATAGTTTATTATAATAATAAATATATCAATGTGACACTCATGATAAATGATTCTATAGTTTTTTTTCAGATATCTATAAAATTCATTTTTTTTACATATTTTAATATTATAAAACATTAACATATATAACAAATTTATACAATATTTCATCTTTTTATACTATATTACACATACTAATTTATTATAATAAAAGCAAACAAATTTATTTATTTTAAAAAATTATTATTATTACAAATATCTCATTTATTTTTTTACTTGTAACATTTCTTCAATGTAAAAATGGCTATAACACAAACATAATAAAAAATTGTAAAATTGCAAATTACAATTATAAAAGTAAAAAGTATAATTAAAAAAAAAACTCACGACTTTTAGAAGCAATATTTCAGTTATTTTTTTATTTTAAAAAACTTGGTTAATAACTATTTTGTTAAAACAGTTTTTCAAAACTATTTTTGTTTTTAAATTTGAAAAACTAAAAAAAATTGATAAAAGGTATTTTGTATTATAATTTCTATTTTTATTAATGGGTATCAATGTTTTATTCAGTAATTGTTGATTTCTAAAATTATTTTTAGAAACTAAAAAAAATGAAATCAAACAACTCCTTATAATTTTTTGTTTAAATGTCTATCTTAAAGAAAAAAAGACATATAATAAATTAAATAATATAATTAATATAAAAATATTTCGCAAAGAAAATAATAAGACATAATGTGTTTAGGTTAATTTTAACTTTTATAAAGAATTTGAAATATTTTGTGATAACATATATTATATGGAAAAAAACACATAGAAGAAATAATTTTAGAAAATTAATCACTTAAAATTAGTAAATTTGATATTTCCCTTAAATGGTTTTTGTATTTTTCATTTTATAAATATTTTTTCTTTTACCGGATTTCAATTAGAACATGGCATTCTTAAAAAGAAAATTTTTATATATTTATGAATTTCTAACAAATGCGATTTTTAATAAAAGAAAATAATATTTCCTCTATAATCGTTTTTTTTTAATTTTTTCTTCTAAATGTCTATCTTTTAAAGTTGATAATTATATTAATTACTTATTTATTAATTATATCTTTATATTTTAATAATATTTATTACAAATAACAAGTTATTATGAATAATTTAAAGTAAAAATAATATATATTAAAAAATAAAAAATGATACAAATTAATAAATTTATTAAAAAATTCACAAATTATAATATTTATTTTAATTTGTGAATCCTAATTTCAAACTATGTATGAGATATTTAGAAAAAGTGGGAATGTATTATGTATGTTACAATTTTGTTATGAGAAGATAATGGTAGGCTAAAATTGACGTAACATGTTGTTGCCTAAGTCATCACTTAAAATCCATTATCGATAAGGAAAAGTAAATAAAGAGATATTCGTATAAAAAAAAGAAAAAGCGATGAGTGCCACATCACAGCTACCATACAAACAATAATAATGACAAAAGGGTATATGATTGAAATTTGAATGGGTCCAACCCTACCCTTAGACACCTTAACATTACTCGCCTTTTCTTTTTTTCTAGAACGCAGCGAATAATATCAAGTACGAACGGACCCAGCCCTTACGCGCCATCGTAGACTCGGTTCTATTGCCACGTGTCCCACTCATTACTCTATATTACTATTTTTTTTCATGAAACACATTACTTAAATTAGTAAAAAAGTACTTATTATAAATCATCACTTAATTTAAGTTTAAGGTGATTATATATTCCTAATAAGAATAATAATTTGAAAAATGTAAATGTTAAAAACTAAATTCATCCTCATAAATGTTGATTCTCATCATAAGTATGGTCCAATAAATTTTACTTTATTTTCAAAGAGTATATAACTTTTCTTATACGAAATAATATTGGGATTCTAAAACAACGTTAAAAGATGTCATAAAATGTTATTTGATGATTTCTTATTAAATAAGTATCTTTATTAATTGTTAATTTTTATATAATAAATTTTTATTTAGTGTTTTTTAACCAACACTTTTAAAATATGTACTAATATCGATCTTAAAAGATGACGTTATTCATATTTTCAAAACATTTTATTAACTGATTAAATGTTAGGTAATTTCACAGAAGAGATTTTTTTTTTGTTAAATTGAATGGTATTAATCGAGACATTTTTTTAAGAGATTGCACTCATTTTCATGAAATAAAATTATGTTTAAACTATATAAAGGATCGTAAATAATAAAACAATTCAGTTTGGTGTAAATGTCTTAAAGATTTTCAAATATAATAGTTTTTAAAATATTTTTACAATTAACATTTTGTAGTTTGAATTGCACCATATATCATACGAATTTATGAGTTTTCAATGCTTTATATATTTATAATTTTCAACAAATATATGATTTTCTAGACAAACAAAACTCAACAAACAAAAAACAACAATTAAATTATAAAGTTTGAATAAAAGAAATGTAATTCTCGATTTTTTTAATTGATTATAGTATTACACAATTTTGATTAATTTGTTAATACATTTACGTCATTCATATTTAGAACAACTCCATCCTAAAATGTTCATGGTTCTAGTTATCTATAAATAACGATGGTTATAAAAAATTAATAGTTGAAGTAATTCAATCTGACAACAATAATTTAAAAAAAGTTAATTATGTTGTAGAAGTAACATTTACTTTTTTTAATATTTTTTTAGTTTGTTGTTGTTCTCATCAATCTCTTCTATAGCGAGTTTTATTAAAATTAAAAGTGATAATTGAATGATAAGTTATTTATAAGATCTAACCATTGAAGATTCGCTTATAAATATTTGTTGATTTTATATTTTTATTAATGAGTCAATTTTATATATTTTTGTTTTTTTTACTGTAAACTTCATTTAAATTATCACTGTTGTTCGTCAGTTTCACTTAATTTACGAGAGGAACATAAGGATAATTAAATATATTATTTTCCTTAATTTATTCAATATTTTTTAAGAATAAAATTATAATAAATTAAAATTTTAAAAGTAAAATTAATCTATATATTACCATAAGTCACATCAAATCGATAAAATTATCTTCCTAAGAATAACAATCCTACCAAAGAAATAGTTATATTTGAAAATATCTTTAAAATCCCCACTGCCTAGAGTATTGTAACTGAAGTGTGACAGTAAGGGTAACAATTTATCTCTATTAGTTTCATTAATTCGTATTCCATGGGTTCTTTTAAATTTTCACTTAGTGTAATATATTTTATATTCTAATAAAATAATTATAATTATAATTTTTATTATATGTTGATCAAGTGACTCATTGTACCAACGCACCATGTCCACCATGGCTTCATTATTTTCCTTTTCACTCTCATTTTTCCCACGTGCCTTTCCCGGACCGAACGTGACACCAAATCCCATCATTCCACCACGTGGTGCCGCATGTATGGCTGTTCCAAACTCTAACCCTAAAATCATTATATAAAAAAAATTATAAATCTTCTCATAACATATTCTTATTATTTTTCTACTTATTTCGTATATTGAATATTTAATCTGCTTATAAAAACACAGTAAATACGTTTTTATTTAATGCTACTTGTTATATACACGACAGACACTCCAATTTTAGGAAAAAGGTTTTTTTTTTTTTTTCGAACAAATAAAATAGCTGAGACGTTAACCCCCCTTCTTCAGGTGTTGCCGTACAGGGGTGACAACTGAATTGCCACTGTTTGAGAAATCAACGGCGCATATATCAGCCGTACGCGTTCATCGCGATCTACGCCGCTAAAATAAGAATCTTGGTTCTTGCCACCGTGTCCGATACGTGTTCGGTGCGCGTTCAAGCTTCGCTCTCAACCTTAAAACTTTCACTAATTAACCAGGATTAAAACCTAAACCTATTTATTACTTCTAATTCGGGAAAATAAATTTCCTTTTTTTGTGTGTGGATTTTTTCTTTTGGTTCTGCGTATTTCGCTGTTTTTATTTTCCAACCACCATAATACGCGGTCCAATTGTCCCCAATATAAGCCCTCTCCTTCCTACTAGGGTTCCATGCCTCATTTCTCCCCACATTTCTCTCATCTTCTCTCGTTTCCTTGTCTACTTCTCTCTCTTCCACCCTTTGAAATTTTCTGACTTCTGTTTAGATTCTCAACTCCCTCTTTTTTTTCTTTCTCTGGGTTAAAATTCATACCCAGTTTTCGTTGTCACTTCCAGGTTTTCCAATCGGAGTGACTATTATTTCAAATTGGAGGGAAAGTTTTTGGTTTCAAGAGGTTTAATTTCGAATTTATAGGAAAATTTTGGGTGTCGATTCCTGGGGTTTCAAATTGAAGCTGTAGAAATTTTGAACCTTGAAATTGTTATTATTATTATTATTATTATTATTCCTTTTTGGGTATCAGTTTTGTTTTTTCAAAATTGGATTTTGGGAACTGGGTGTGTGAAATTTGATTTTTTTGTTGAGGTAAAAAAGTTCTAAAATTCGATAGAGCATTTCGTTTTGTTTCGACTTTTGGTACTGGGTATATGAGACATGTGTTGGCGAAAGATTGAGTGATTTTCTGTAAATTGCGTTGTGTACAAGAATGCCCGCAACAGACTTCCTTGGTTCATCTCCTGCATCGTTAGCCCATTTTGGCCGGTCACTTCTCAGTCTTCGTCGCGAACAGGTTCACTCCATTTCCATGGAAGGGTCAAGCTTGGAGGCTGAGCTGGAATCCTTTCAGCAACACGTCACTGACCGGTTTTTGGAACTCTCTTCTGTTGCTCATGATAATTTGCTTTCACTCTCGTGGGTTGGAAAGCTTCTTGATTGCTTCCTCTGTTGCCAAGAGGAATTCAGAACCATTGTCCGCACCCACAAGGCACAGGTGTTGAGACCCCCGTTGGATCGCATGGTGTCTGAGTACTTTGACCGCAGTGTGAAGGCTTTGGATGTTTTTAACGCCATTCGTGACGGGATTGAGCAGATTCGCCAATGGCAGAAGCTGATGGAGATTGTCCTCTATGCATTAGGGCATCAGAGGGGCATTGGAGAGGGCCAATTTCGAAGAGCTAGGAAGGCCCTCATTGATTTGACAATTGGGATGCTTGATGATAAGGACTCCAGTGCTTCAATTGCGTATAGAAACCGGTCCTTTGGCCGCAGCGCTGGTAGTAGAGATCATTATCATAACCATAGTCATGGTCACAATCAAAGTAGCAGTAATACCTTTCATCATCGGTCTTTGGGGCATTTTCGATCGCTTTCATGGAGTGTTTCTCGGACTTGGTCTGCTGTCAGGCAGCTCCAAGCAATTGGGAACAACATTAATCCACCTAAGGCAAATGAGCTGGTGGCTTCTGGTGGCCTTGCAATGCCTGTGTTCATCATGAATTCGGTCCTGTTGTTTGTTGTGTGGGCTCTGGTGGCTGCTATTCCGTGCCAGGACCGCGGGTTACATGCCCATTTTACCATTCCTAGGAACTTCTCCTGGGCTGTTACATTGCTCTCGCTTCACGAAAGGATCATGGAGGAGTCAAAGAAAAGGGAGCGCAAAAACTCCTGTGGCTTGCTCAGGGAGATTCAACAAATGGAGAAATGTGCTAGATCGATGAATGAATTGTCTGATTCTGTGCAATTCCCGTTGACAGAGGAGAAAGAACAGGAGGTTAAACAGATAGTGCAGGAGGTCTCACAAGTTTGTGATGCTTTGAAAGACGGGCTAGACCCTTTGGAGCGCCAAGTAAGGGAGGCTTTCCATAGAATTGTTCGTAGTCGATCAGAGGGGCTTGACTCTCTTGTTAGGCCAACCTATGCTGAGTAACTTGTTACCCCCATCATTTATTTGTGGGTAGTGTAATGAAATAGAAGTTGAGATGATGTGATAAAGTAGTTATGCTTCCATGGAAATAGAAGACTACTAAATGAAAAGTGAATGACTAAAGGATATAAAAGTGGTAGAATGGCATGCTGGTAGTCTGAAATGAAGATTATCCCTACGATGAAGAGTAGAGGGGAAGGATTGTTGAACCTAAAAATCATATAAAATGTATAGAATGTGTAGGATATTTGAAGTAGATCCTTGTGGTCTATGCTGTTTTTGTTTTCCTCTCCTCTTGTTTTTGTCTTATAACGTTGCTTTTGTATAATCAATCTTCGCTGTAACTTACTACACCCTCATTGTATCTTATTTTGTTCATGATTATGTATTAGACAAATCCTTTTGGTACATATAATAACATCGGCATTTGGTTTGGAGGACCAAAAAATTATCGTAAAATCTTGATTTCCTTTGCAGTATTAGGATTCTTTAACTTCCTTTAAACTCTAAGGACTACACGTAGAAAGACATTCTGGTTCATATGCTTAAGTTCTGTTCATCTTCCATAATCGTTTGTGGACTTAAATTTGGAATGACATTGATGCTGGTAAAGTAATTTTTTTTTAATGTTCTATTGACCTGGTTGGGAAAATATGGTCTCACAAAGATTTTGCCGTAGCATTTGGGCATAATTCAATTAAATTCAGGTTTTAAGGCAGATAAAAATATACCACAGACCAGTGTGTCACCCTTAAGCCATTCACTGTAAGATCTTATATCAAATCGAATTGGAAATCTCACAAGTTTAATCTGTTATCGTGCCCTATTTGTTTGCCCGGTGTTTATCTTGTTATGGTTTCACCGGTATGTGTTTGAGTAGAGAAAATATTATATTTAATGTGATTGAGTTTCGGTCAAGCCGTTGAATTTGGTGGACCTTGACTTGGTTACTACCATCCGGAATTGAATTTCTAGGCCGTGGCAGTAGCTCTGGTCAAGGAAAAGTTGTTGACCAGATGTCAAAGTATTCTTAATGACTACTTAAAGTTAACTGGGTTTGGGTTTGGGTTAACATTTGTGCTACCTTGGAAGTGTTCGAAAGGTTTTCTGATGGCTTATCTACAGGAAAATATCATAGTTTTGGTTCAGCTGGTAAGGTATTATTCGATTGAACATCAATTTTGTTTCTCACGTTTTGAGAATAATTACAATCTATTTTTATGTCTTTGAAGTGTCATCCAAGTAATATTATTCATCAGTATTCAACTGTCAAGGCTTGCAATTTATACGTGGATAGTGTCTTCATGATGATTTCAGCTAGTATATCTTTATCTATCTGTATGCACATGCTTTGTCTGCAACTTGTGCCTAGGTTAGAAGAGCTTATGATTTTTGCTTCAGAAGCAAACTATTATCTTTCCAGCTCAAAACAATGTGAATACATTAAAAAAGGAAAGTGGTTTGCTTTTGACTATATGTAGTCTTAAATAAAAGAACAAATTTCTGTGATACTATAGAATGGCTAAAGTTGAAGGTATGTCCCTTTATTTGTAGGAAGTTGATGTTGTAACATGCTGTGAAGTAATAACATCTGCTTTTGAAAATACCTATGTGTTCACCTAACCAAAGAGTTTGTTAATCATATGGTAGTTCGACAATTGATGGATTATTCTACTCAACGAGTTGTCAAAATTTAAAGTAAGAATTTATTTATATATTAAATATATTTTTAAAAACTAGTTTTTTTTTCCTAAAGCTATATATACCATAATTTCTATTACAATGAGAAAGCAACACAGCCTAAAAGATTAGAACCTGGAAAATAAAATAAAACCTTAACACGTGTTATTTAATGAGGATGCTGATTTGAAGATTTACCTTTTCCTCATGTCATCATCATCTTCCTCAAATAAATAAATTATCCATTATATTATTTAAGCATAACCCATTTATTCTCATTTATATTATTTCCTACCTGTTTATTGTACCAATTTGAAAAAAAAAATTACACGTTTTTTGCATTTTTTTTACTTATTTTGTCTGTACAAAATTCTAATCACAGTGGTTAGAATGAGTAGTCGTTAACTTAATTTCTTGAAATAAATAACTAGATGATCTAATAGTAACCTTTGTACGTGGAGAAGACTTAGTTAAGAGGGGACAATACCACTTTTAAGAAGTTGTGACTTGTGTGTTCATGTACTCTATGAATTTATGAAAGACACTTACAGATAGTTTGTTTTACTGATTTAAATTCAAATGTTTCAAATTAAACATGTTATGAAGTAAAAACAAAGGAGATTTTCCATAATGTTACGTAGTTTTAATATACTTATTTCAGGACATTTTAATAATGTTTGTCTTTGAAAACTTTTATAATTAGGTTTAGCTTCTATATGGTTTTAATTTGTTGTTCTATTATGGTTTAGACATTACATTATTGTTCACATAAACCTTGATGTGAAAGTCTAACCGAAAATAGTTAAGGCGCTTGAGGTTTCACTAATCCAAAAGAAGAAACAATGAGAGTAAGAGAGTATTTGTAAAACACTATAAAATGGTGTAATTGATAGAACATTATTTTAAACAGGTGCTTTGTAAACATCACACTATATTTGATGTTGACTGAAAAAGTTTAACATTAATTAAAGATATGAAAGAAAGTGATTGTGAATGATATATTTGAGGGAGAAAGAAAAACTGAATAATAATTTGATGTAATAATGCGTATGATAAAAAAAAAGTAATAATAATACAATTCTGTTCTAATATTTAAAACTTTAAATACATGAATGGGTTATTAAGTCACTAATAATTAAATGAAACTCATCTATTTGTCTTCAAGGTAGTTCTACTTGTCAAGATCCGAAAACTAATAAATAAATAAATAATAAACTTCTTAATATATATATATATATAATGCTACTAAACTCTTTAATATATAAATGCATTAGCATTGTCCTTTCAGTACTAACCCTTTTTTCTGAGTCATTTTGCGATACATAGTTTTTTCAGATGGGCAATAAATATGCAATGGTGTGCTAGGTCAACTATTGGGCCTGTTGTGTATGCAGCCCATTGTGAGAAAATTCACTTTAACCATTCATGTGTTTTTCTTTAGAGTTTAAATTTCTGGCTTTGTGAGTATAATCTACATTATTAGTGAGTAAGAAATTATTATATGCATAGATTTTAGATTTATTATTATAAAATTTAATAAATTGTGATTATGTTACTCTAAAAAAAATCATATGGTGAATACAATTTCAATTAAATTATTTTATTTAATTACTTTTTTTACAAAATCATTATCAGTTTCATTCCATTGAAACGATACAGTGAATTCAATCAGGAATTTCATTGATGATATCTTCAGGAAAAGAGAAGAGTTTCTAATCTGAGAAAATGATGAAGTCTCAAATAATCCTAATATGATTTTATTTAATTACTTAAACTTTAAAAATAATTGTTTCGTGATGTAATATAAGTTTCGTTTTTGAAATAACTGATTAATGATACACGAGAGAAAAATTATATGAAGTAAAGCAAGAAAAAAAAATTCTTATTTAGATAAGGAAAGTATATAAATAAAAACTTGAAAATCCTAAAACCAAAATAGTTGAAAATTTTCTTTTGACTCGTATTCCAATCCCATAAATCCCTTCGTCGTTATACTCACTCTACCTAAAACTTATTACATGAGATTGAGCAAGGTGTAAATTTCTCCAGACAAAAATACCAACCCTGCTCTATTCATCACTTCAAAATAAATAATCCAGAACTATTTGACAATTTCTGATATGGAGAGAAGAAAAGCTGTTAAATGAAAATATATGCTCATATAATCATATCCTATTTATATTACCATGACATAGTTGAGATGCTTCCAGAATTCGGGGACATTCTTAACTACTGGCACAAAACAAACTGGAGGAGTAGATATGCATATTAGTATAGTGTAATGCAAGTCGATCAACCTCCGAAACAAAATAAGGATACAATCAAAATTTGATTGAATTAACTCTTCTATACTATTTACATAATGTGAAACTTTTGACAAAAGAGAAGAAAGTCGTTACAACAATTATAGAGAAGAAAAAAATTCAGAATACTTCACTCTCCCCTCTCTCCTAGCCATCATGACCTTATATTTAGTTGAGGTCCCCACACGTAATCCTCCAAACGTAAATTCATTATTTTCCCCCTTTTGTTAATCTTCTGCTCATCCTTAGATTTGTTAACTGCCAACTCTCCCACTTTCTGCCTCATTTTTTTATACAACATTGCTGCCTCCATTAAAAATAACCTTGTCCTCAAGGTTACTATCCGGATACGCTTTTTTAACTGATACCCAATCTTTCCAAGTAGCATGCATCTTTTCCAAACCTTTCCATTTAATTAACACCTGTTGCACTTCTTTTCCTCCTTTCATGTTTGTAGAATAGTCGTAGGTTGCACGAGTGGACCAACTTCATTAGTCATCATGGTCAGAGGAATATATGGTTTGATATGTTCACCATAGCACGACTTCAACTGAGAACAGTGAAATACAGGATGAATTTTGGCATGATTTGGCAGCAACAACTTATAAGCAACATGACCCACCTTCTTTATAATTGGAAATGGTTCAAAGTACCTTATTCCCAACTTTTGGTTTCTTCTTAATGCCACTTAAGCTTGATCAACACCATATTGAACTCAATATCCCTTCTCTTTCTATCAGCATTCTTCTTCATTTGTTGCTGAGCTTTCATTAAATTATGTTTCAGTTGAGATAGAATCAAATCTTTCTGTTGCAACATCTCCCTAAGTTCCAAAGGATCCTTGTTGTCCAAAACATATTTATCCACTCAAGGTGCTTCTCTCCCATACACAACCTAAAAAGGAGTCAACCCTGTACTGAGATGATTAGATGTGTTGTACCAAAATTCAGCCCATGATAAAAACTTTAACCAAGCTTTTGGATTATTATATGTGAAGCAACGCAAATACATCTCTAAGCAATGATTTACAGTTTCTGATTGATCATCTGTTTGCGAGTGATAGGCTATGCTCATAGCTAGTGTGGTGCCACTCAACTTGAACAACTGCTTCCAAAACTGACTAATAAATACTTTATCTCTATCAGAGACTATAGTTCGGGGAAAACCATGTAATTTAGCCACATTTTTCATGAAAGCATTTGCAACTTGCACACTAGAATAATTTTCTTTTAATGGCACAAAGTGAGCATATTTTGACAATCTATCTACAATCACATATATCACTGTGAAGCCAAAGGATGGTGGTAACCCTGTGATAAAATCCATAGCGATGTCCTCCCATATTTGATTTGGGATCGGTAAAGGTTGTTTCTATGTTTTCGAAGCGGTTTGAGTGTTCCACATGATACTTCTCTATCATTTCGAGTAATCGCTTAACATCAGCTGATAAATTCTTGACTTCAGAAGTCAATTCTTTCAAACATGTGTTTTTCGCCATGAAAACAGAATGAAAGCACTAATATAATGTAAGTCGAACAACCTACAGAACAAAATAACGATACAATCAAAATTTGATTGAATTAACTCCCTCTGTATTATTTATGTAACGTGAAACTTTTAAGAAAAGAGAAAAAAGTCGTTAAAACAATTACATAAAAAAAAAATCCAAAATACTTCACTCCCCTTCTCTCCTAGCCATGATGACCCTATATTTAGTTGAGGTCCCACACATAATCCTGTAAACATGAATTAGTTATTTTTTCTCTTTTGTTAGTCTTCTGCTCCTCCTTAGGTTTATTAGATGCGAGCTATCTCACATTCTCAACAAACCTCTCATACCTCATTTTTTTCCACTTTTGCCCTTTGCCTCATTTTCTGATACAACATATAGTTACGTTATAGGTGTGATTGACGTAGAGTTAATGTGAATCTTATAACTACGATTCACTGGACCACCCATTGTTTGCCAGTGACTGAATTTTTATATATATATATCATGCCAACTCTCTGTAACTATTTATGTTCATACAAGATAATACTTTATAGGTGGATACACTAAAAAAAAAAATCCGTGAATCAACTTAAATTAGCTCTTTCTCTGCGTCCATTTGTTCAATACACTGCATTACGAAAAAAAAAAATTAACTCTTTCTAGCTCTAATATAGTGCATCACAAGAAGTAGAAGAGTTACAAGCAAAGTTGATCCTCCAAAATAGAAAGGAGGACAAGGAGTCCAGGGTTTTTTGGGCTTCTTCACTGGAGGTGTTTCCTCTTCAGTCTTATCTGAAACCTTTTCTGGCTCTCTTTCCTCTGGCTCTGTTATCACGCTATCTACAACATTTTCTGCCACAATTGGCTCTGCTTCTTCCTGCACCTCCTCGATTTCACTCATTCCTTTTCCCACTTCCATTTTTGGCATCACTATTGTCAAAACTGCATCCACTTCGTTATACTTCGCCTTGATCCGATCCAAAACCACCCCATCAGGGATTCTAAACTTCTTCACAAACTCTTTGGTTTTGAGTTCTTTCTTGAATGGTATCATTTGCATTTCCTGCACCTCCTTCTCCCCACTCACCGAAATCTCAGTGCCATCTTTACTGATATTGATGTCAATGTCCTCTTTCTTATATCCTGCACTTGCACATTAGCGTAACAATTTCAATACAGAAAGAAAAGATTAAGATAACCCTACAAGAGTTGCGAGTGAAGAAACCTTTAAGATGTGCAGTGAGGATGAGCTTTGCATCAGTTTCTTTAGAAAAGAAGACAGGTCCTAATCTGTCTTTGGCAAACTGAAAATCAGAAACGGAAGTGGTATCATCTTTGGTTCTTGTGATCTTCAGCCCCAACTCAACCTCCATGATCCTTAATTTTTCCTCAAAATAGTGGAACCTTGTAAGATTGAAATGTTTCAATATTTTGTATTTCTTTGAACAGATATGATGACGAGTAATTGTTGGAGTATCCAAGTATAGTTTTGTGTCTCCAAGAACAAAACTGTGCAAGTAAAGCACATATTCATTTCTTCACTATATAGTATGTATGGGCAAAGCTGCTATAACGTGCTTTATTGTTAGTATTCTTATTTTTTGTGGCTGAGGGAATCTACTATTGCTTTTGGACACTTCACTGTAACATGAAAGAAGTAAAAAACATGGTTCGTGAAGGATGGAGCTTTACAGAGAAATTTGTTTCATCATCACCAAAGTAGACCTTATTACTGAAGCCGTTCACTCAATTAAATCCGGTTTCTTTAATGAGAAATATCAACAACGCATTGGGCTTCATATAAAAATATGCAACGTCAGTGGGCCAAAATATACAAAGCCTCATGTCCCAAATGGATTGGGTCACTTTTGTGTTGTCATCTTTTTACATAGAATGGTAGACGGGTTGATTATAGAATGAAGTACTTGGATATTAGTTAAATGAATGAAGTACGATCTAGCGTGTTTCATAAGTCACAAGGTTACCCCAATACATGGGAAAGCATCTTTGGCAGAAGCAATTCCATTTTCATTAGAAATATCCAAACAATCCAATCCCCACAATCTAGGTTTTATGGTGCTTTCACTTTCATTACTTTCATTGCAGCACACATGTCCACCGTTTGCTCAATGTATACGAGTGATTCGCATTTACTTCCCCGTCCCTTTCTACTCAACTAAAAAATAGGTTTCATAAAAAATATTTTATTTAATGATCGTTTATGGCTTGATCATATTATCCACAATACGGTACATTGAAAATATTGATTCGTATTGATTAGTTTAAAGGGTCTAATTCGGAACTGAACTAAATATTAGTATGTTATTTTAGAAAAATCTGATTGCTTTTAAATTAATATAAAATTTTGAAGAAAAACAAATTATTCCCACTTTAATTGAAACCTCCTTGAATCTTTGAGGCATCGATATTTGCATGTGATTGTGAATCTTTCAGTGAGATAGCATTTTTCTATGGCTATCATATTTGCAAAAATGGACAATTTCTGTCTTAGTTCTGTCGGTAACCACACTCACTAACCAGTTACTCCTTTAACTTTGATTAACATCAATCAATCTTTTTGTCGCAGATAATCATCATTGATACAGACAAATATTGTTGTATAAAGTAACAGAAATTCAGAAAGTAATATTATCATGGTGTGTGGTGTCTATTTTATGTCCCCCAACTTTTGAAATATAGAGATATCAATATAAATTTCATTTTTCTCAATTATTTTTTCATTACTGTAATCAAATCCTAGACAAAAATGTTTAGGAAATTTAATTATCTATGGAATGGATCAGGTCTTGTTGATAGAAATTAAGTTCAAAATTTGTTTCTTTTATACATATATCACTCAGCTTAAATGATTATTGAAAAAAAAGTTTTAATTGTTGAATTGACTAATTTTAAATAATTTATCCTTCTCTTTCTTCTCATTCTTAATTAAAAAATAAAACCCTTGGTAATGCATGTCCCCACAACACATGCCGCGTAGAACATACCTATATACTTGAATAAAAAAAAGTAGTAGTCATAGATGGATCTGAACCATTTCACAATATTCCCAGTAGATATGCATACATAACAGCAACACATATGAAGGAAACATTCTCCACACAAACCATCCACACCCAGAACAAAGTGGAAGATATATAACTTAGAAACACACAAACATATGTAAAGACAAAAGCATACAAACAAGTGGAGGGAATATATATGCTCTTATTGGTTGCATATATAATTATAAATGTTTGGTTTGGATGTATCAGCCAAAGAGGTGGTGGTGCTTCTTTCCATGAGCTTCCTCATCCTGTTCCTTTGCTTCCTTCTTCTCATGATGCTCGTGGAAGGCAAACCCACCAGCTCCCACTGCAGCTGCTGCTGCAACCTCCTCTTCTATCTTGTGCTTGTGTGCGTTCTCTGGGTCTTTTTCTGCCTTGTGCTTCTCATGCTATATACATCAAACCAATTCCAACAAATTATAACCAAATTTCAATTATCATTTTAAGTTTGCTTTCAAAGCATATACATACTCTGAAATTGAAAATGACCATAAACCATATATATAATATACTGTAATATTCAAATTGTGTTTATCTCACCATTCACAACGCAACATTCTACCATGCCCTTCTCATATTTGAATAAGTTTAATATTCATACACAGGTCAAAAAAATTAAAATGTTATTTAATGAGAATGATTTTATATATAATTTTTGAAAAAGCAATAAATTTACTATCTCATTTAAAGTCATTTTATATTATTAGTACATATTAATTAAATTGTATTTAAATTAGAAATAAGAGGATAGTAAACTCTATGACCGATTCATCTTATAAATACACATTAAAATAACAAATTTACGTGATTTTAAAATCAGAGATCAATAAGGTTTTGGTTTGAAAATAATTATCAACGTCTACCTCATGACTAAGAAAGAAGATCAAGAAAATTAATGTATATTTGTCATAAAATCTTAAATACCGTTCTACCCCTGTACGATATTATTATTATTATTATTATTATTATTATTATTATTATTATTATTATTATTAGAGTTGAAGTTCAGTGCTAGTAAACTGCATAATAAAAGTCTTTGAATAAATATGTTACTCAAATGAAAATCTAACTGTAAAATAAAAAACAATTCTTTAGTTTTCAATTGCGCATGCCTATTTCCCAAAAAAATAAAAAATACAGTTGAACAAACAATAAATAAATAAAAACTAAAAGCTTCTGGAAAAAAATAAAAAAACGTTTGTGAATTGTGTGAAAATATTACATAATATACATGTATGTATGTGTGTATTTACTGTAAAGGAAATAAGAATGGTAAAGAAAACTCTTACCAAGGCGTAAGCACCAGCAGCTGCAGCACCTAACTCACCAAGGTGCTCAAGATGCTTGTGGTGCTTTTCCTCCTTCTTGTAGTCAACATCATCATCACGTCCACCGGTATCCTCCCCGTAGCCATCACCACCACTTTTCTTGGGGTAGCCACCGTCAGCGGTGTCAGAGTACACACCACCACCAACGCCATATCCACCACTTGTTTTAGTATAGTCACCATCGGTGGTGTCAGAGTATCCACCACCGGTGCCATAGCCACCAGAAGTCTCATCAATGCCAGAATAATCTGTTTTTTTGCGCCCACCTTCATAGTCACTGGAAAATGATGTTTTGTTCAAACCAGTTTCATATTCACCACCAGCAGAAGACTCATACGATGGCTTGTTGAAACCGGAGTCGTAGTCATCAGAAGGCTTGGAATATGCTGGGTTGTCGTAACCAGTCTCGGTTTCTATGGGCTTAGTTTCCTCATCCTTGTGGTGGTGGAAGAGGTGGTGGCGGTGGTGTTTTTCTTCAGCCATGGTGGTTGCAGGGGATAGTTACTGAATGAAAGGATTGACGAAGAAGAAAGTAAATGGCAAGTAGGGAAAAATGGTTTTAAGGTGGGATGTGATAGTTGGGAAGGAGTAGTCAGGTATTTATAAAGTGGTGATGATCATGGTAGACATGCTGCTGAAGTTCATACTTTTTGGTAGGACATTAAATTATCTCGTGGAAGATCCCAAACTCTGGGTCCTACTGTCCTTTATCATTATTTAAGAAAAAAACACGTATTTTTATATATTAAAAAAAAGTCACATTTTTCAGAATTGATATAAACTATATTTTTATAAACATTTTTAATTTTTAAACCATTGAGGCATTTTCCAATGAAGTAAAATTAAGCCATTGATGGTTAATTTTTGTTCAAACATTTAACTAACTAATTTTATTATAATTTCTCCTTCCACATAATTTTATATATATAATTACTTTTGCTTAACTTTGGAACAATGATTTGGATCTGGTGTGACTTTTACTGGTGCAGGATTTACTGGTGGTTTATACTTGAATAAAGGTTGTTTGGCATGCATGTTTTAAAAACAATCTTTTATTTTTATTTTAAATTATTATTTTGTTATATTAACATGATGTGGTTGTCTGATAAAAAAATTTATTTTATTTTAGAATTATCAATAATAATTGTTGTTTATATTTTAGGTAGCATGTAGTTACACTAGTTATTATCACTGTTGGTTAATAATATCTTATCAAGGAAGGAGTTCTATTTTGATTGTACTATGTTCTCAGGTACTTCTATTGCCAAAAAGGTTATTTTTCTTTTTCTTATTTCTTTTCAATTATTCAATCTACTATCAATTATATATTTTGTTTTTATTATCCGATAACTTATTTTTTTACTATATATTTTTATTTGTTTTTCTTATTTTCTTTTATTACCCACTTAGTTATCCTCCTGTTATTTTTCTCCCTACTTCCAAACATCCAACATGAAATTCATCAAAGACTTTTCTTTTCTCTTTCATATGGGAACATGTATAAAGTTGATTGATTCCCTCGCACCATATATTTTTCACCTCAAATTAATCAATTATATTAATATAATAAAATATGTTTTAAAAACAGTAATCTATTGTGACATTATTATATTTTTCATTATATAATAATAATAATAATATTAATTTAAAATAGCATTAACAAATATTAAATAATAAATAAAATTATGTCATTATTTCATAATCATTTGTATTTTTCGCTCAGCTTAAAAAATTGTATTTTTCACTTAATATTTTATACTCTCCAATTTTCAATCAATGTTAGTTTTCTATCATCCTATGTCCAGATTGAAAAGGAAAATACAGATATAATGGCTTATACAAGTGGCATAATGAATTTAGTACACATCCCCGGATTTTCAGTGCTTCCACGTAAGAATACAGTAATGTGCGAAAATGAAAAAAAAAACATTTAAATAAAAATACATAACAATGAGGATAGATGTTTGAAATAAAAATTTCAATAACAGACATAATAAAAAAATATTTTTTAAAATTAAATAATCTTTAAAAATACATTTTATTTAGTTTCCCTTCAACCAAATAGTCTTTTTTTTTTCAATCAAACGATTTATATTATTACCGTATATTATATTTTTTTATTTCTACTCTAATATAAAGCCGGAGCCAATTATTAAAAAAAGTTATAGAGTTCTAAAATATTATTTCTATTTGTTTTTTGTTTTTTTGTTGTTTCTTTTTTTATTAGAAAAATACTCATATATTTAAATATATTTTCTGGTAAAATAAGGTGAGTGATTTACACGTTGGAAAAGAAAAAGAAGTAGGCGAAAATCTTAATGATTATGTTGAAAAATAATAGAAAATAAAAATAAAAGAAAGATAATTGAAGCGGATAAGAATGGCGGTGATGGGACCCCTTTGAATGGCAGTTGTTAGTCGACGAACTGTTCGTTTGTGTCGGCAACAAAGGACATTCCACTCCATCAGTTTAAGCATATTCTTTCTAAAAATACAAAACAAAACACAATAAAGTTATAAAAATCATAAAATTAATTTTAGTATCTTGCTATTATAAAAAAATATGAATAGTTAATGTAATATAATTTATATTATCATTCGATAATAAACATAAATGTTGCTTTTAAAATAATTATGTTTAGAAAAATTACTTTCAATATTACATAATAAGTTGTAATTACTAAATAATGTAACTTTTATACTTTTAATTAAACTAAACTTGACAGCTCAAATATATATGCGAGCTGCATGTGAAGAAAATACAAATTTTCTATATTTTTTTTGTTTCCAACAAAATTTTAAGGTAGATAAAATATAAATCTTTTATATAAATCAAAACTCAAAAAAATAAGAAAGAGGCAATCAAGAAAAAGATTGCACCAAATATAGGTAGAGCCATTTGTCACACGAAATCATGGTTATAAAAATTGCAACATGGGCCAGCTTTTTTGTGACCTGACACTTGTCATGTTAAGATCCTGGTTAATTGGAAAATTATAGAATAATTCAATTTTGGTTTCAAGTAAGAAAGAGTGATTTTATTTAACAGAAAATAGTAAAGTAGTAAACTAATAAGAAAGATTTTGACTTAAGGTATGATAAGTGTGAATCTAAAACTCTTTTTGAAAACTGGTGAAGGATAAAAGTATGGAAGTAGTTGTAAAATGAAACAAAATTTTCAATTTTTGTTTTGTTTCTCAGAGGATGTAAATTGAAGGAAACTTGGGTGGCTGGCATGTTCAGCCTTACACACGTATTGGCGATAAATGGGACACACTTATGACAGTTTAATTAATTGATTGATTAGGTCTTGAATTTGGGAAGATTAAAGAGTGTGCGTGTGATCAAGTTAGAGCCACGTATATCACACGGAGTAGATACGTTACTATGTTTGTGGTTGGATTCTCGTGATGTATACAAGTATTTTCATATATATTTTTTATTTGCTATTTGTTGGTAGCGCGGCCTACTATGCGTTAAGACAAAAATTAAAAGGAGAGAATTGTTTTTTTATAAATTTTTTTAAGATTTCACCGATTAAATATAGTACTTCAAAAGTAAAAAAATTAAGAAAAGAAGATTACACAAGGGTTCGAATCAAACAACTTTACATCATGTTGTTAATCATTTAAAAAAAAAACATTAACTCATTTACTAAAATAATAATTTAAACAAATAAATAGATTATAAATAATAAGAATTAAAAAATATTTATTTTGAGTTAAACAATAGATGAACACCTCATTTAAAATTATAAAAGATGAATATAACTTTTTTAGAAACAATAACACTCAATCCATCGAAAAACTAACTCAATAGTTCTTATCACTTGTAACCAACACTAAATTTTCAAAGTCTATTTTTCTTTTCTACTCAGAGTTCTCTCACTAGTTACAATACTTAACTTTTTGAGTATAAAAAAGATTTATCTTTTTTGCATAAAGTCCTTTAAATAGAGTTTTAGGATTGTTAAAAATTAAGTCTGAAATTTAAAATTCAAATTCATAATTGACACATGATTATCATATAGCCAATATAAGAAAATCAAGTTTGTTTAAGATAATTGATTATCCTTAGTGATAATCAATTATCCTATAATTAATTTCAAATTTAAATCTATAATAGTCATAGATAATCGATTATCCTCGTAGATAATCGATTATTCTAGAGTCACTCTCATAAAACTAAAGTTTATCCGGAATAATCAATTATCTTGAGTGATAATCAATTATTCCAATACGATCTTGATAAGAATGAAGTTTTTGTAAACAGATTAAGTGTTGATTATCATAAATTCTATTTTTATATACTCAAAATCACAAAATAAAATTATTATAAACAATTTCAATTATATATAAATCTTCTAATGATGAAGTCCTTTCATTTTTTAATCATTAAAATTTTTAATCATCGTATTTTTAATTCTATTTGTTTTTTAGTTGTTATTTTAGTATTCTATGTGATGCATAAAATGATACATCTATCCATTTTATTTTAGATTTTGTCTTTTATAAATATATTTATAAAATTGATTTACAATTTAAAAAAATATTTATAAACATGTATTACTTTTTAAAATTTGTTTTATGGATAGATTGAATATACATCTACAATAATAATAAAATTATTAATAATTAGATTGAATTAATTTTTTATTAAATTTAAATTACTTGTTCGTAAATTTATAATATGTATTTTTTATTTAATTAATTATAATTCAAAATAAAATTGTTGTGACTCATCCAATTTGCGATCCCTACTTTTTTTTAATAAGTTCTTAATATTTAAGCCCGTGTTTAATTAAATTAAATAGAAATAAACATTCATGTTAGCTGTTTTGATTATAAGGGAGATACCGAATACCAATAACAATCAACGCATCATTAATTTTTTATTTTTTATTTTTCAAATCCAACATCATACGTAGCCGAAATGTCGGGTCCAAACATAAGTGCATTACGTGGACTCCCAAACATTAGGCCCATATACAGAAAAGAGCCTCAACGTTGTTGGGCGGATCAGGCCTATTATAAATCCGAGCCCATGATCATGGTCATAGAACCATAAGAACCCTCTTCTATTAGTTTTGAGGTTTTAGCCTAGGAGCCGTGTTCATCTACACTCAGCCGCATCACTTCCCGGAATCGTGCATCCTTCCCTTCAACATGGTACTTAATTCTACGCTTTCCATTTATTTCTTCTTATTTTCTCATTCTATTCATATTAGGGTATATGTTTTTCTTTTGGTGTTTCAATGTTTTTATTTTCTCGTTGAAAGGATCATAAAATTGTAAAGTTTATCAGAATTTGTAACATGTGATTTGTAATCAGGAACTTTGAAACTAACCCTTGTCTTGTTTATGGTTTCATATGGTGTAAAAGTTGGGTATTTATGATTTTGGTTTGTTTTATTTGAATCCAATCCTTGTCTTATAGTCCCTGGTGGCAAACGAGGATTTCCAGCACATACTTCGTGTTTTAAACACGAACGTAGATGGGAAGCAGAAGATAATGTTCGCCCTTACCTCAATCAAAGGTATAGGAAGGCGATTTGCTAACATGGTGTGCAAGAAGGCTGATGTTGACATGAACAAAAGGTTTACATTACTTCCTTGCCATTGTTTGTTGATATTTGCTTATTTTTGCACAAGAGTGTTGTGTTTCAATTAGTTTTGTGTGTTCTGTATTGAATCTGGGTTTGGTTATTTTGATGGCAGAGCTGGCGAGCTGAGTGCCGCTGAGTTGGATAACCTCATGACTGTGGTTGCCAACCCCCGTCAATTCAAGATTCCAGACTGGTTTTTGAACAGGAAGAAGGACTACAAGGATGGGAAGTATTCTCAGGTGGTGTCCAATGCATTGGATATGAAGTTGAGGGACGACTTGGAGAGACTCAAGAAAATTAGGTGATTACCCTTTTTTCTTTTTTCATTGTGGGTTTAAATTAGAAAATGTTTAGCTATAACTGATCCATTTCACCACTTCTAATGTTGAGATTATTAATCATGCAATGGTTAGAGTGATATTCTGTTTTTGACAAACTTTTTCTCTTCCAAAAATCTGAAACCAACAAACTAGTCTTCCCCATATTTTGATTTCAATTATGCTTAATGTCTGTTCTTTCCCTTAGAAAATTCTGAATATGCACTTGTATTTAAACTGTTAAAAAAAATTTGAAATGCTTGTGAACAAAACAATACGTTATCAGGCTATTATATCATTTATTTTATTTTATTTAATTTAATGACTGCACGCACTATATGGCTCATCTAGCTTCTATTCTGTGATTCATAAAGTACAAATATGTGATGTATTATAAACTGCGAAGTTAATGACTGATGTGTACAAGTACGAGTTCAAATACAACGTGTTATCTCCTTTCAATGATAACAAAACATTGTCGCTGGAAGACACACTAGTAAACCTTATAGTTGTAGTCTTGTATGCCTTCAAAACTATTGTCTGCATGTCAGGTTGTGTTTGGTATCACGTAGAGAAATAAAAAAAAGGAGTAAAGGATCGTGAAGAATAGTAGAGAAAAGTTGAAGAGTCACATTCCCTTGTTTAGTATTATCCAATGAAAAGTAAGGAGGCTTCCTCTTTTCATTCGGAAATATATGTCCGTCAAATCACTTCATTACCTATCCATTGAAAAATATTTAAAAGAATGAACTGTTAGTGGGAAATCTAATACGGAATTCTCAAGAACCCTTTCAGCCCTAACAATTCTCCCTAGGAAAGAATTGCAAATAATACAAATTTTCGGAGTCCTATGGAAAACTAAGTCCATTTTCCCCCTCCTTTCATGAATCTAAATATTTGCGCAGAAAAAGAAAGTGCGCAAGTTATCAACGAAGTACAACACTGTAATATAGTCTTGATTTTATATTTGCTTCCTGATTGATATTTATTCTTGCATGCAGGAACCATCGGGGCTTGAGACACTACTGGGGTCTTCGGGTACGTGGCCAGCATACCAAGACCACTGGTCGTAGGGGTAAAACTGTTGGTGTATCTAAGAAGCGTTGAACTGAGAGCTCTCACTTTGGCCCCTTTTTCTTACTGTTTTTTGAACAATGGGATATATTATTTTGTTAAAGCCAACCATTTTATTTTGAGAATGCATTTGGGTTTTGTTGCATTTGAACTTTAATTGTGATTGGTTAGGTTTTTTGTTTTCCCTACGAGTCTTGTGTCTTTTTGGTTCAATATGTGGGGAGGCAATGTGATCTCCGTTAAAAATATGGCCTAATATGGACCAAAATTAATGTATGAAAATGATAGTTGAGTGATATTTGTTATGTGCGCATAAACACAACTAATATAAAATTTAATGAATGTATTAAAATAATAATGAAAAGGATAATAGTGTCGTTATTGAAGTTAGTTAAACTATTATAGAACCCTTTCAATCACTTTGCAAAACTAAAGAATCTAGGCAGTTGTAAGAAAATTTCCAGTGATTTGTTTTTTATAATTATTCCCAAAATTGGCACACTCTATTTTCTTTATTAATAATTGTACGTATGTCTAGTTGAAAATGTTTTCTAAAAATCCTAGATATAATAAAGTTTTATTAGGAGAATATAAGACAATTATTTTAAAATGCAGTGAAAACGGTTCATATCTTTTGTACATTTTGTCAAACTGATGGATTTTTGTAGTCTCAATATTTTTGGTTATGGTTTAAAATTTCAGATTTTTTAAAAATTGTTTATTATTATATAGTGATGTACATTGCATGTTAAGTAACATGACACGTTCAATTATTATGAAATAGAAATACTGCAGTGTAATTGTCTTGGTTTTTGCTCTCTTAATCAACTAAATTAGTAACATGGTTTATTTTCGAAAACGTTAAAATTAAAACATAAAAATAGTATTATATATTTTTTACTACTTTTCAAGAAATTTGAAAAAAAAGGAAGTGTAGAATTAACCCCAAATATTATTTTGGTTTGAGTTTATCAAACTAAGTCCAAATTGAGAATATTAAAGCCTTTAAGGATTAGTGGTGAAACATTTGTGTAAAGGTAGAGACGTTAAAAAATATCTAGACTGAATAAATAATAATAAAAAAGAGAGTCAATTGAACTTCTAAAATTTAGAAATGAACTATTCTTATTACAAAGAATTAAACTATTTTTTTAATTCAGTTTTTAAAAAACTCAAATTATGAAATTTAAAAAATATTTACATAATCTTCCATTATTTATTCTTAAAGTCATAAACTATATTAGGCTAATTTTCAATTGATTTTTTTAATCAATCAGTAACATCAAATCTAATTTATAAATTTTGTTTATTATTATTTTTTCCAATATCTATATTAAAACTTCAATAGTTACATTGAATCTAATAGATGTAATAACAACTAAAAAAATTATTTGATTCTTTTTCTATTAAAACTTAAATATTTTCATTAGTTCATGGAATACCATTTTAAAAAAAGATAGTGATGCATGTTTGAATTTTAGTTGAATAAATGACATTGTTGTTAAATCTTCCGCCAATGTAATAAGATTGCAATTCAAATAATTAAATTAGTTAATTTTTAAAAGAAAAAAATAATCTGTTTAAGAAATAGAATGTGACAAACTATATATTAAAAGGATATTATAGTTAAAAATATATAAAATGCAACTAACTAAATTATTTTTTGATTCCATTTAATTTAGACATTTTTCAGTTTAATTTAATTTTTATACAATTTAATTTAATTAAACTATTTTAACATGTCTTGAATTTAAATTTAATTATAAATTTTATATTGAAATTGTGTTATGAAATAAATTAGTTTTGATAGTTTGCGAGTCTTGAACCTTGAAATAATTGCTGAGGTTGACTGTTCGTCCTGTCCGTAGGCAAGTCAACAGAAACGTTGAGGTGCAAACATTGATCCAGGAAGGTTCATGTACTGCACCAGCCTCTAACCATACACCACACAAAATACTTCCTAATTAGTAACAAGTACTAATGCAAGAGATTGAATGTGGGCTGAATCACGTTGGTACTCTACTCGTCTAGGGTGTTATTCAATGTGATCTAACAATTACATTGCCGACAAAATTGTACGAACGAAAGTTTAAAAAATTAGTTTTGATAATTTTTTTTAAATGTCTATCTAATTCAAATGGGCACACTAAGCACTAAGCATTTTCGATGCAATTCAATTGCTTAGCATATATCAACCAACTTTAATCTCCGCACACTAGCACTGTTCTAAGCCTCAGAAAATGAAAATGAAAATGAAATACAGTTCAAGCGGACGGGTCTAAAGAAAGGGTAATGAATAGACTAATGAATGGAACTCACGAACTTTACTTGGTTTACGTGATCACTTTAAAAAATGTCTAATGAAGTTGAAAACAGCACGTGATCCTTCAGTCAGTCACATCATGTACGTGATTGAACATTTCAATAGACCAGCTTCTAAGCTGAAAAAAAGTTTAAAATAAGGAATTTAGAGGACAGGGATTATTGGGGAGATGTACAAGTCAATTCAAGATGTTCTTGAGCATCTTTAATACATTAATTATCAGGGTAACAATAAAGACTTACTCGGGTTATTGTTCAACCTTCAGACCGGCTTCTATGCGTTCAATGAGCTGATCTGCAGTCAATGCTCCCTCCTGGAAGTCATCAAGACCAAAAAAGTTGCTTGCTAAGAAGGTGAAAATGATTGTTTTATATTATAGAAATAACAGTCAACACCCCTTGTTTTGTTTTGTCAAATAAACAAATATCTTCGTAGCATCGTAATAGCATCTCTAAAGAGAATTTTTAACAAAAAGTGCTTAATACTAAAATTGAATATTTTATCATGAGTTCCATAGTTGAATTGTTTAAAACTTGCCCATAATTGAGTTGTTTAAAACTTGATCAGAGTTATTTTTCCAAAACAACTTTCTTCTAATTTTAAACAATTTTTTTCATTTTTAAGTAACTGAGATATGAGACCTATAGTAAAATATTCACTTTTATTCTTAAGTAACTTTTGATAATAATTCCATTTGGAGATGTTCTAACAAAACTTCATAGGTAAATAACAGATTCAGCTCAAGAAAATTATGTAGTGTCTCCTAACATTAGCAACAAATTTCAAGAACATCAAAGAAAAGGCTGCAAACAGACAAACACCAGATCAGATCATTTCAAGCTATATACACCTTCACACTAATACGATGATGGGGGAAAGCATTTGAATTTTCATGAGACTCATGTTATTGACTACAGACGGAAGACTATTTTAAACATTATTGGATGGTTATACTAAACTGCCAATCAGGTTCTTCATTATAACCAAAACAACCTCTTTTTCATTATATCAAAGTCAACAAGCCTAGGTAAATATAAAGGTGAATGTGACAACATCAAAGCTTTAATCAAAATTAGGAACTAGATTATTCCTTTAGATGCAAGTCCTCTAAAAGTTGTTGTCGGTAAGAACTAACTTCAGGCAGTTCCCAGCAAGAGGCCAAGAAAATGGCTACTTCTTTCCTTAGTTGGCTTAGCAATTATAATGGTTTGTATCCTTCACATTACAAATTCAAATTCCTAACGAAACCAAAGAAGAGTAGAAGCATATATCTCAGAACATTGCAACATTGCTAATGCAAACATAGTTATAAATAGAAACACTAAGTTCGGTTTCACAACTCAAATTTAAATGCCATGTCATGCCATTTTAGGCCAAATGTAAACGTTAGGAGTCATAACAGAAGCAGAAGATGAAGATTCCATATATTATAAAGTCTCACAGTGACACGGTTAACCACCAGATGCAAGGAAAGCATAATTCAAATGAAAAAAGAAGTAAGATTTAAACTCACAAAACGATCATAAGGTTCTCCATCCTTAAACATGATGAATGTTGGCAACGCCGCAATTCTGTACTTGTCAGCAATGCTAGGATACTTCTCAGTATCAATCTTCACCACCTGTATCTTATCCTTCAGCCGAGTGCTTACTTCATTGAGTATCGGAACCATGAATTGACAAGGACCGCACCTGAAAACCAGGTATTAGGTCACTCATTACTTGCTATCATATAACAAATTAACAAAACAACTTCAACGACAAAAAGCAACAGTTAACAAGAACCGGCATAAAGCCCTGTGTGCGAAGAAGGAGAAAAGAGATAACAGAGGGACTTACCATGTTGCATAGAAGTCAACCAGTACAGGCTTTTCAGAATTGGCAAGCAAATCGTCAAACGAGTTAAAGGTTTGTTTCTTAGCTTGAACCTATACATAACAATACACCCAAATGTATATAAGTCCATAATTGGCTAAAAATGTTGAACAGTTTACCAAAATTAAATAGTCAAATTAATATGGAAGGTCCTTGAGTCTGCACTTGTTCATTCAATTTACTCTTCACGTCACAAATTTCTTGAGAAATTTGAGAATTAATTTGACTGATGAATCACACATTCATTCAGTAATTAATCTCACGGTTAAATACATATTTAGGGACGACAAAATGTAATTTCCACTGTTGAACGACTAATATAATTTCTCAAACTATTTAGGCACAAGTTATCATGAGTTTAACAATAATACCTAATAATCAAGAATGTTCAATAATACCTAATAATCAAGAATGTTCCTTGATTTACTAAACTATGAAGAAATCGTGAATCTACGTACAAACTGCAATGGAAAATGAAAACAGAGAGGGTGGTTTAGGTTACCCGAGGAAGGAATTGTCGCTCCGGGGAAGTGGGAGCGCGTGGAGTACTAATCCGAAGAAGGCGCGTGCGCGAGGGGAATTGCAGCGAGGGTTGTTTGACGGAAGAAGATGCGGAGGGTGGCAAGCGCGTGTAGCGTTCGGAACTCAAAGAAGAAATCGCGGTGGATGTGGAAACGGAAACCGCCATGGGAACGAAACACAGTGAACGTGTTTGTGTAAGCTTGGGAAGAGAAAATTTAGATGAGGTTTGTTTGGGTACAGAAATATCTGTTCGCAGTGAAACGACAGAAAAAAAGAAAAGAAAAGAAAAGAAAAAATATATGAAGCAAACAATGCTAAGGAGAACGAATGGACTCTTCCAGGTCCAACACAAACTGCCACTATTCTGTGACTCCCACTCTCCCAATCCCAATTCTCTTTCTTTTTTTGTTTGTATAAATTGTAGGGTTGATTAGATAATAAAAAAATTTTCCGTGCCATTGCCAACTAGAATTAATTAATAATTATTAATTATAATAAATGTATGTACCGTTCATTTTTTTCAAAATGTAATTAAATTTTTTATTTTATTTTAATTCATAAAAATTTGTAAATATAATAAACTAATCTGATTATAATAAATATATATTTTGTTTTAATTAATTAAGATAATTATAATAATGTATATATTGACTAAAGTAAAACCGACTTTCTATAGGAGTTTTTGTGTGGAGAGAATAGCAAGGGGTTCATTGCCAAATGGTCTTAATGATACAATTATTGCCCATATTCCAAAGCAGGATAGTGCAGACTATGTGAGAGATTTACAACCAATTTTTCTGTGCAATGTGACATAGAAAATAATGTTTAAGACTTCGGCAACTGAAACGTGGGATATCAAAGTTTACTTGTAAAGAGCAAGTAGTGTTAGAGGAGAGATCCATTACTGCCTGAGAACGTTCTGGTTGCCTCAGAAGTGAACATAACCTGAGTTGTAAGAATAAAGATGCAAGAGGAGAAGTTGATTTGAAGAAAGATATTAGCGAAGCATATGACCGCGTGAATTGGTGTTATCTTAAATTTGATCCAATGTGGGTAAACTGGATGAGGGTGTGCCTTCGTTCAATGAGTTATTCTATCAGAGTAAATTGGGAAATGGTTGGCCCTGTAGTTCCCCTCTCTTCATACCTCTTTATAATTTGTGCTGAGGGATTATCAGCTTTGATTTAGAAGGAGATGAGTAGATGGAAAATGTCTAGGAGTTCCATCAATTGTAGGAAGAAATCAGAAGGCGATTTCCAGGTGTGTAAAGGATAGGATATGGAGGAGGATTCAATATTGGGATTGTAGATAGTTATCAATCACGAACTGGGGAAGGAAAGAATGATTAAATCAGTGTTGCAGTCAATACCAACCTACCGCATGAGTCTATATTTACTTCCAGACAGTCTCTTTAATGATATTCACAGAATGATTAATAATTCGTAATAGAAGAGCGGGAAGAGGAATTTCCTGGATGCGTTGGGATAATTTAATGGAGGGTGGCTAGGGATTTAGATGCTTAAAGGAGTTAAAAAAATAACTCAATGGGAGCAGAGCTCTTTAGGTTAAAAATTGATGTGAATATAAGTTACAAATTTTTTACTCTAACAGCAGTATATTTATAATAATAAAAAAATATTGACAATAAACCACGTAACTAAATTTTAAGATACGTGAATAAAAGAATAAAGTTAGGACACCTATTGACTTAGTAAAAATAATAAAAAAATTAATTGCAGTTACAAAAGTAATTTTTTCTCAAAAATTCAAATTTTTTGACAGGTTAAGGTTTTGTAAACATATTAGTATGTTGATCTTCAAATTTGCAGTAAACTAAGTTCCCTTTTCTATTTTGTTGCATCTCCCTAAAAAAGATAGAGCTTGATATTGAAATGTTTAGTTTTCTCATGACATGTCGAGTTATTTGTAATTGCAAATTGCAAGTACTGTCTGGTTGTTCAACAAAAACCTCAAATCTATTTTTCTGCTGAAAGTGTAAATCATATAAAACCTTTTTCAACCATAAAACTTGATTTATAGCAGCTATTGCTGCTATGAATTCAGCCTCTGCAGTGGATTGTGCTACAATCTCTTGCTTCTTTGTGCATCATAAGAAAACTCCTGAACCTAGGTTGAAACAATATCCTGAAGTGTTTTTCATGTCATTATAAGATCCAGTCCAATCACTATTAAAAAATCCACACAACTTGAAATCTGTACCCTTTTCAAATTTGACACCATAATCAAGAGTGCCTTTCACATATCTCAATAATCTTTTTGCTGCTCTTAAATGCATTTCACTAGCACAATGCATAAATCGAGATAAGAGACTTACAACAAATATAATATCTAGCCTTGTTGCAGTGAGGTACATTAGACATTCAATCAAGTTCTTATAGTGTCCTTCATCAACTTTATCAGCACCATCTTCCTTGATGAACTTCTCCCTTTGATTCATTGGTGAGCTAATTGCTTTACATTCATCCATTTGAAATTTCTTTAATATTTCATTTGCATATTTTCTTTGGCTAATGAACACTTCATTTTCACCTTGTTTAATTTCAATTCCAAGAAAATACGTCATGAGACCAAGATCTGTCATTTCAAATGCTTGCATCATTTCTTGCTTGAATTCGTCAACCAACTTTGTGTAATCTCCAGTTACTAAAAGATCATCAACATATAGTGAAATTATAAGAAAATTGTTTCCCTTATCTTTCACATAAAGAGTGGATTCAGATAAGCTTTTTGTACAACCTATGCTTAATAAGTGATCATTTATTCTACTATACCAGGCCCTTGAAGCTTGCTTTAAGCCATATAGGGCCTTTTTTAGTAGATAAACTTTATCTTCTTCACCATGTTTAACGAATCCCTCCGGTTGCTCCGCATATATTTCTTCTTCTAGAATTCCATTTAAAAACGCCGATTTGACATCCAACTGGAATATTTTACAGCCCTTTTGCGCAGCTATAGTTAACACCAATCTAATTGTATCTAATCTAGACACAGGAGCAAAAATGTTATAATAATCAACACCAAAGATTTGTGCATACCCTTTAACCACGACTTTGGCCTTGTATTTGTTGATTGAGCTATCTGCATTAAGCTTTGTTTTGAAAACCCATTTGACTCCAATGACTTTTCTGTTTTCAGGCTTGTCAACCAACTCCCACGTTTTGTTTTCTTGAATCATAAACATTTCCTCCTCCATTGTATTTTTCCATTTTGGGAGTCTTAGTGCTTACTCACAGCTAGCAGGTTCACAAATTGCTACATTACATCTTTGATAGATGTCACACAATAGCCTAGTTCCTCTAATTGGAGGATCATCTTCCAATTCATCTTGTGACAGTTCTGTGGTTTGTTCTCCATGATGATTATCTTCTATAATTGGAAAGAATTCTATTGTGCTTTGTGAGTTCTTCCAATCCCATTTCTGACCTTTATTGAAATGTACGTCTCTAGTGATAGTCATCTTTCCGGTTTGAGGATGATACACTTTGTAGGCTTTTGAAATAGAACTATAACCCATAAAGATGCCTGGAGTAGCATTCTTGTCAAGTTTATCACGCTTAACTTGAGGAACATATACAAAACAGACACAACCAAATACTTTAAGGAAGGTTAGAGAAGGTTTATACTCATACCAAGCCTCAAATGGAGTTTTATCTTTCAAGGCTTTGGTTGGAAGCTGATTTTGCAAGAAAATTGTTGTGTTAGCTGCTTTTGCCTAAAATGTTTTAGGCAGCTCCTTCTCATGCAACATGCATCTAGCCATCTCCATCACAAATCTGGTTCTCCTTTCACTTACCTCATTTTGTTGAGAAGTGTAAGGAGCTGTCAATTGATGTCCAATTCCTGCTTCTCCACAAAATAGATTAATTTTTTTTTATGTATACTCCTTCCCATTGTTTGATCTTAGTAATTGAATCTTGTAGCCACTTTGAGTTTCCACCATTTTCTTGAATTTCATAAATACTCCAGCCACTACATGCTTGAATTTCAAGAAAAAAATCCAACACATTCTTGTAAAATCATCTATGAACAAAATAAAGTAGAGACTACCTTGTAATGATGATGTTCTTTGAGGTCCTACCACATTAGTGTGAATTATTTGCAACTTTTGAGAGGCTCTCCAAGATGATTTGGGAAAAGACTTTCTGTTTTGTTTACCAAATTAATAAGCATTACAATTTGGAAAATTTTCAGAAAGTGTTGGTACACCTGGTGACAAGTCGTCCTTCTGTATTTTCAACATTCTTTCAATATGACAATTACCCAGTCTCTTGTGCCAGAGTTCTGTGAGATTGGCTTAAGTGTAATAGGCTACATTTTTCTCCTCTGTTAGATCAAATGAGAAGCTTTTACCTTTCATTTTAGCCCTTAGAACATCCCGGCCAACAATGTCATAGATAAGACAATGTTGATGTTAGGGATGACAATTAAACTTGTACCTGTGGGGATCGACTCGTCCCAGTCCTGAGTTTGACAGGGAAAACCCGAGTTGACCAGGGACGGGGGCGGGGATGGGTAATACAATCCCCATCTCGACCTCGTCTCCGCCCCGATTTTATATTTAAAATTAAATTTTAAAATATTAATATTTTTAAAGTATTTCCTTTTCTTTTATGATTACATATAAGGTCATTTTTTATATTTCACCAATTTTTATTTTTCTTATACCCACTTTTTAATTTTTTTGTCTCTTTTAATCTTTTATATAAATTAATTTATTACATTATTCTCTCTTACCTTTCAATTTTTTACATTTTCTTAATCTATTCCATCAATTTGTTTTTTTTTCAATCTTTTCAACTAATTTGATGAACACAAAGTTAATTTTTTTCTTTATCTTCTTCTAAATATTTTACATAAATCTTAGTAGTAACTAATATTATTTTATTTATAATTTATATTTATTAGGTTTTATTATGTCATATTTTTTGATTTTATTATTCTTATTTATCATATATCAAATTTTATCTTAATAAAATAATTGTATTTTAAAGGATTAAAAGGAGTTGATAATTTAAACTTTTATTAATTCGAACTAATTAAATAAAAATTAACTTATTAAATATTTTCTTATAAACTATACATTTCATATTTTTAAATGACTACTTAAAAATGAATTATAATAATGTTATAAACATTCAAATATTT